CGATTAAAGAGAGTAGTTTTAGCAGTTGAGTTTGCAAAATTTTATTGCAAAAAATTTATTCAGTAAAATGTATCCAGTAACATCAAGTGATTGAAAAACATACAGGGTTGCCCATATTCGAAGGACCCATGTTTTTTTTTTGGGCCCATTCCCATCGACGAGGCTTGTCCGCAGGCAACATTCTTTGTGTCAATTGAATTTTGTACGGGAACAAATGCAAATCAATACGAATAATCCGTTGTAAAATGGACCGAGCCATGACCAACTGCTGAGAACGGCGTTTTTGGGATGTCGTACGGCAGCGATATTCCCGGCCGATCGCCTGGTCGACTTTTATATGGCCTCTTTACCAGTCGAAAACTTTTCGTATAAACGCTTAATAGTGTTCTTAGAAGGCGCACTTCTCACATTTTTTAATGTTTCAAAAGCACGTTGAGTTTTCACAATTGACTTCTTCTGTTGAATGTAAATTTCAACTATTTCAGAGCGCTCGCGTGGCGTGTATTGGTGCATGGTAAAAATCTGCTTGGACTGACGCTTCAAACGCGGTATGTCATTAAGCGATGTGACATCTCTGTCAAAAGTTATGGCGTTGCCAGATGGGTCGTCGAATATGGACAACCCTGTATGTATTAATGCAGATGCAAAAATGTTTAAAAATTTCAGGGCATATATTATTTATTTTAATTATTTTTCAGATAATAGTAATTCAATATTGCATTATACCATTAAATAACTTATATCTTCACTACACAATTTTGACTTTTTGAATTTTTTATACCAAAAGTTAATAAATCGGAAACCAGATATAGTATAAGGCTCTGTTAGAGCGCCGTCAGCTAATAATTCCAACATGATGACGATTGATTATAACTCCAATTCGTGGTTTTCATGTTATAATTCAAATTTAGTATCATTTAGTAAAGTTTACTTTTTTAATTTTATTGATCACATCACATTATATTTTAGAATAAGCTTTGATTTGTTCGAGTTGGTCACCTTTGGCTCGAATTATGGCCTTCAAACGGCCAATGAAACCGTCACACGCTGCCCGAATGTTGCTCTGCGGTGTTTTGGCCCATTCCCGGCGAAGCTCTTGCTTGAGGTGACCGATACTTTGTTTTTTTTTTTTTTTTGTGCCAACCATGCTTTCCAAAATACTCCTGACACAATAGTCCAACGGATTGGTATCCGGAGATTTTGGTGGCCATTGTACGCTGAAAATATTCTGTGGTGGCGCGTGCTGAGTGCGATGATGCTAAGTCCTGTTGGAATGTCCAAGGTCTACGGCCAAAATGTTTGCATGCCCAAGACTTTAATAACCCTCCACAATATTTTCGCAAGTTTTCATAGATCATTCGAAATTTAAAACAATGCAGGTAAATAATGTTGCTTATATCATCCAAATACGTTCTATAGGGAGGTACCGTTATATGGGGGCTATACGAAGACCTTGGCCTGCATATGTAATTTTCTGTGATAGGCTGTAGTAACCATTGAACTTCCAATACGAACTTTAATACAAATCCGCGTGAATAATGTCGCTAAAAACATCAAAATACTGAATATATCGAGATACTGTTAGTTAGTTACTATCGTAGTACCCATTAAGAACTTTGAATTCCAAATTGGAACCATTTCCGGTGATAAGTGCGATACATATCATCAAAATACCGAATATCTGAAGTAAAGTTAGTTATACGGGGACTTTACCAAAAATTAGACTTGTGTTGTCTGTTCTATGCAAGGAAGTTTCCTATATAATGGTAATGCATTCTGTCAATTTACAGCAAGTTCGGTATGAAATTGTGACTAAAACACCCAAAAAACTTAAAGCTGTCGGTACTGTTATACCAAAATGTATAGCACATTTTTAATGTCAATGGTCCTGCAGACCTAAAACACATCTCAATAGAATTTTAGGAACCTACTTCATTTCGTTCGGAAGCCAGAGTGATTTCCACAGACGGATAGACAGGCGGGCGTACATCGCTGAATCGACATAGAATTTCATGCTGATCAAGAATATATATACTTTGTGGTGTCTACGACGAATATTAAGAGGTGTTACAAACGGAATGACAATTGCCGATTTCAGACTTCGTTTTCAGACTTTCTTCGTTTTCAGACTTTAATTGCAATGAAAGGAATATTCGCAGAAAAAATTTGTTATTCTGTTACGAATTGATTAACCGAGAATTCTACGTTCTTTCATTTTAATTAGAGGGAGTGTGTAAACACACCCTTCCGAACACCACAATTCACCTAATGACAGCTTTTAGAAACTAGTGATAGATCTCCTCTTATACCACTAAAATGAATGTTTTCATACACCCACAATGGTGCACAACATTGACCAAAAACATTCGTCAATGAGCTTTAAACATGAACAGCAACACATTCCGGGGAACCGAAACAAAATCGATTTCTATAACACAACAAAAACAAAACATCCTTCCAAAATATCTTCATTCATTTGGATTTGTAGTGGGTTGCCGTTTATGGCCATAAACAACGTCATTTATGGCATTCAGTAATTTTTCGTCATAAACAAATTTCCTCTTACAAGAAAATAAATAATAATCACAATAATCATAAAATACAAATTTCACATTTACACGAAAACAATACTCGGGAAAAGAACAAAAGCCAACAAAACCACAAAAAAAGAACAGCAATTGTGCTTTCGTGTCAATAATGTGGGACAACAAAACACCACCACCTTCTAACACCTTTGCTTCTAATAACACCCCAAACTCATTGTTCTGAACTATGTTTGCCTCCAACTGATTTTGCAACACCTATACCAGCCACCCATTTGTAACACCACTTCAACAGGCAAATGCTATGCGCACCCATCCACATTCAAAAATCAATCGCCTTCTGCTACTATTTTGGGAAAAGTTTACCATTTACCTACCCATCCGAAATTGAGTGCAAAATGTTTGTAAAATACAACTTTATTGCCCTCATTTAGTTTCGGTAATAACAACATTTGGTTATTTCAACCAAAAAACTCAAACACAAACATCAGTGAAGTTATATTCCACAAAATGTTGACAGCAGCAGCTAACAAAACCACAAACAAATAAATCATGACAAGCACCACTGATTGTTGTTTGGCCATAATGAATGTTATATTAGAAAATTACTTCATCAATAATTTGGAAGTTTGTTGTGCACTGGTGAATTGGGAGAGGAAGTGAAATATTTATGTAAATGCCATGAATATTTATTGGAATATGTAATTTTTGCAATGATTTATAATTTAATAAGCGCAAATGGTGGTAAGTTTGGTTTGGGGCGAAGTTTATTTTTAACCTCCCCTTATGATGGTAATTAAATACGAATGACCAATTTGGAAAAACTCATGGGTGTTAATCAAACTTTTTAAAATAAGTTATTTTTAAGAATCAACCTTCTGTTGAAACAAGTTGTTGAAAACATCAAGCACCAATTATAGAGGAAGATGTAGAAAACGCGTATGAAATGTAACCAGAGTCCAATCAAATAAACACATCGGAACAAAAGTGGCTTTTACAATTAAAAAAGTAAAAAGGCGATAAGTTCGCGCAAGACGAACATTTAATAGCCCCCACCATGAAAAAAAATAATTAGAAAATAAATATATATCAATGTTCTGCCATTAAAACCAGAAATAATTACAGACTACAAATACCGAATTTTAAACAAATCAATTAGAAAATTCGCCCTAAATCGTTAAAAAAACAAAATATCGCAAGGTATCGTTATGGGCTATTGTAAAACGAAGAGGTATATAGACAATGTTCTGCCAACGGAGGTAGGAACCATTACAATCTCTAAACATCAAGTTTGAATAGCTATAGCTCCCATATGATACCTATATCATTATATCGTGACAATAGGAAAACTTAGACTGGTATATGATGCTCGTGGCCGTGGAGCATCATGAACAGTTCCGTCAACTATTTATCATATAGTACAATACTCTAGACAAATTTGGAAAATTTTGCCATTTTTTTAAAGACCTATGTTAAACAATATGGGCTGTATTCTGATTTCAATAGACAGAAGGACATACATCAGTAAATCGATTTTGAATTTTATACTAGTCACGAATATATATACTTTATGGGTTCTGCGACGAAAATTTGGAGGTGTTACAAACGTAATGGCAAATTTATCATACCCTCTTTTCCATGACATATCTCAGTTAGGAAGTTATACCTCTGAAGTAGAAATTCTGAAGTAGAAATTCTAAATTCTTCATATAGGCCACCATCCAACCAACTTTGATTAATATGAAACACCATTATCGCCACCAGAAAAAGAGCTAGTCTGTAGGTCAAACTAATTAACAGGACAATTATAATTGGACAATTATGAGACCTGTATTTTGCTAAAAAAAACTCATGGACAGACGGATGGGCAGACATGCATAAATCACTTCAGAATTGGATTCTATGAAAGTCATCAATAGGAGCTATGGGTCTATTTCATGTGCTTCTGCATTTTAAAAACAAATATACGACAGAGGGTTGGGGAAGAAACAGATCTTATACACATAAGAATTTAATTCATATAAGAATTTGGATACAAACACCAATATAACTTGGATTCGTAAAAGTCTAGTAACATATGACATATAAGTAGATTATGCCAGAAATATATTACAAACATGTTTGCTTCCTAATTTGTAAAATGAAATGCAAGTATTTCACTTTTACTTCCTAAGGCACAATATTTTTATTGATATTTTAATAAAACCAGATATTAGAGCGGATCTAGATAATACACTTGCTACTTACAGAGTGGATGATAGACAATTGCACTAACATAATTCCTCGTATCTTATCTTTCTCATCCCATACGATCATATAAGAATAAGCTGATTGAATATTATGTCTCATGTTTTGCTCAAGAAAATTAACTATCATAGACATTAGGAACCCTTTAACACATTTTAATATTCAAATCTTTTTATGCGTCCGGGGGCTTGCTACTAAATACCAATAGACCCTGATAAAATTGTATACTGATTTCAGACGTTGATTCAAATTAATTAACCAATTTGTGTAATTTCCTGTAAGATTTTGAACAATCGTCAACTTTGTCTGGGGGCCCGGGCCCCATGAAAACGTAATGCCAATTCTAACACATAATGCGACCGACCGAAATTAGTTTCCCAGCACGTTTTTGAGACCATCCAAACAGCTTCTATAGATGCTCTTCCATGACAGCCGGATTGTATGGAGTGGGCCAAGTTGAGTTCTAATCGGCCAAGGATTGCCAAGAATGGCAACAAACACGTTACGTTTAACAAATAATGGTTTGCACATCTATTGAATACTTTAAAATGATATTAATATAAGTTCCTGTCAAAGATTTACAATTACTTACATAACACTTCCAACGGCTGCCGACATTTGCACAGAAGCTGCACTGGTGGATATCTTTGAGCACTATTTGATATTATAGCACATCCAATATATGACGATTTCGATTAATTCACAATTTCTATAGAGTTTTTAACGATGTTTGTCTTTAAAATAGAAATTTTACTCAAATTATACCGAAAAAACTACGACGAAGAAAAAAGGAAGTGGGCAAAATTGAATTCTAACCGGCGATGGGCTGCCAATAATTGTAGCCCTGCTAGAACGACCCCAACACGTAACCTTAAATGTGTATTCCGCTGAAAATCTATTGATATCGTTAAAAATGCTATTAATATGTGTTTCTTTCATATTAACAAGTACTTGCATAACTCTTCCAACTGCTGCCGACATTTGCACAGAAGATGCCCAACAGTGCAGCTAACTTTGAAGACTATTTGACATTATTTCACGTTTAAATTATGGGGAATTCAATAAATATGCAATTTCCATGGAGTTTTCAAAAATAATTTTCTTTAAAACACAAATTTTACAAAAATTACACCGAAAAACTACGACAAAGAAAAAAAGGACGCTTTCAAATCACGAATTAAATGTCAACTGAAGTAAAGTCGTAAACAAAAGCTCAGTTGTATTTTCTGTCAATGAGTTGAGTATTAACAAGTAAAAAAGCAGTAAGTTCGGCCGGGCCGAACTTTTAATACCCTCCACCATTTGGTACAAATTTGGCAATTTCCAAAAAAAAAAAAAAAAAAAATAAAATAAAATAAAATCCGTTAAAAATTCTGCTAAAATTTTAAAAATACCGAATGCTTATACGACGACGTGGACCTGCATAGGCAACTTTTGTCATAAGTTATTACAATATTTAAATGCGAAACTTCAAGAAAAATCTGTTTATAATGTAGCTAAAATCATCAAAATACCGAATATGTGGGGTACCGTTATATGGGGGCTATACGAAGACGTGGACCTGCACAGACAATTTTCTGGCATGGGCTGAAGTATCCAATATGAACTTCACATGCGAAATTTGAAACAATCCCGGTAAATAATGTCGCTAAAATCATCAAAATACCGAATATCGGGGGGTACGGTATATGGGGGCTATACGAAGACGTGGACCTACATGGCTCATTTTTTGACTTAGGATGTAATATCCGTTACGAACATCAAATACCAAATTTGAAACGATTTCGGTAAACAATGTCGCTAAAATCATCAAAATACCGAATATCGGGGGGTACCGTTATATGGGGGCTACACGAAGGCGTGGACCTGCACAGATAATTTTCTGTCTTAGGTTTTAGTATCTATTACGAACTTCAAATGCCAAATTTGAAACAATTCCGATAAACAATGTCGCTAAAATCATCAAAATACCGAATATCGGGAGGTACCGTTATATGGGGGCTATATGAGAACTTGGACCTACATGGCCCATTTACGAACTTAACCTGCCTACTGGCAAAATATACATGTGTGCAAAATTTTAGCCATCTATCTCAATTCATTCGAAAGATAGCGTGATTACAACAGACAGACAGACAGACAGACAGACAGACAGACGGACAGACAGACAGACACACAGACAGACAGACGGACATGGCTAAATCGTCTTAGAATTTTACGCTGATCAAGAATATATATACTTTGTTGGGTCTGACATGAGTATTTCGAGGAGTTACAAACGGAATGACAAAATTAATATACCCTCCATAGTATGGTGGAGGGTATAAAAAGACCGATTTGCTCAACTCTCAGTAAAAAAACTGCAATTCATTGTATGCCATCTATCAGAAATTAGCTGAGATATGTGATAACATGGATAAATTGCCTTGTTTGAAGCTCATAAAGTGTTGCATATCCTAGGGCTAATGTTTTAGTACTCAATGTGTCTGACAGCTAATCAACTGTTCAGTTTGTTGAATTCTCACTTCAGTTGCCATTTCATTTTCATTTAAAGGAGTTTTTTCAACGTAAAACATAAAATTTTTGTTTTTATTAAAATAAGTGTAATATTGATTCGTATAAAATAAAGAAAATGGAAAAGTGTATACAATTTAGGGTAAAATGAAGAGATACCAAAGTGTGTTGTAATGAAGATAAATAAATCATAATTGTGCCTAAAGTGTGTCCGGGTATTTCATGCCTAGTTACTCGTAATGTTTTGGGAAGACTGGTTTATTCATTCTATGATTTATAAAGTCTCTGTTCCACTGATTTTGCACAAATTTCACAGATTAAAACGTATTATCTACCGAAAAAAATATATATCTGCGGCCAATAATTGATCTCTAGCGCTTAGCTGTTGTTCCCGAAAGACAGGTAAACTAATTTCATAATTAGAAATTGTGTCATTATAATCTAGATCTTATTTTATTAAATAGGTAAGCTGATCAATCAATTAAATTAAGTGATGAAACTATGATTATTTTTGTAATGGATCATGGAATTAAATCGAAGTGGTAGCGTCTTATACATCCCAACAAGGAATAATAATTGTCGTCCCAATAAGCAAGGACTACTGCCTAAGGTTCTAAGTGTCATAGATAACGATTTTGTAATGACCAAAAAAAAGTACCAGGTGGATAAGGAACGATACCAAGGCCTTAGAATATATTTTATTTGATAAGTTCAAGTTCAATTGAACATTTGGATCCAGCTGGAAATCATTATATCAAACTAAGTCCAATCGTCAGGAACTGTTTAGAGAGCTTATATCAAAATGTGGACAGAGGTGATAAGATGTTTTATAACCTCTCAAAAAAATCTTTCGTGTGCCATCTAAAAAGGTAATGTATAATATGTTGTAAATATCGCGTTAAATTTTCGATTCCCTTTGCAAAATCTCATATTCATCTGGGACGATGGAAAGTATACAGTGCAGATCTGCATTAAATTATAATTCGAAATAGTCATGCCACTTTTCTAAGTGAATAAATATATAGGCCACAATGTTTTGTGTAGAGCATTGAATGGAATAAGTTATTGGCAACGGACTAAAACTCCCGATGTTGAAGTTTAGTAACCATATCTTGGTACCTTCAAAATTACGCAAATTTGTTGTGCTTAGTGTGTCGAATTTCAACCTGGCAAAAATTGTCAGTATGGTTTTACTTTTTACACATCCTCAGATTAGAATAATTTTAATAGTTTTGCATACAATTTAGTTCTTATTTGGCTTTTTGGTTTTAAGAGAATATCAACCTTTCTTGCAGAATTTTTTCGCTGAACGTCCATTATATAGCAGAAGTATTTCGTATGTTTTAGATCCAATTATCCACAGAATTGCCTGTAAAGTGGCATTTTGGGTTCTTCTTGATTGAATTTCGACATAAACAACGACGCTTATAGAGATGCAAATCACAAATTTAGATTTTCATGTTAAATGTCAAAAAAATGCTCTTTGCTGCAAAGACCATTTTTCGTCTTCTTGCCGAAGTGAGTAGAGAAAGAAAAGAGTGGGTATCCGGTAGGACTTCAGTGAGGTACAGATATAGCGATGTGTAAAATTTGGACGATGTATCTGATTCAAAATACTTAAATAAATTTAGATCGAGTTCGGAGATGGGCAATATTTTTCCACTCCTTCTGTTAGCAAAAGGTCAACGGATCTTCAAATTTTGTCTAAATTTTGAAAAAATTGACAATATTGTCAGGTGCGAAAAACGAAAATTGGTCATTCACATCCGATCTCTTTTTAAGGGAAATATTAAGATATACCAGGTTCGAATGGAATCGCTGACTTGTTTCACAAATGATCAGAGATTTAAGTATTTAAAATTGTGATCGTTTGTGGGGGAGGTACCACAATCTATCATCTTCACACCATATCTCGTGTTAATAAAAATTTGAAAATTTGAAAAGAATCGGACTCTTATTTCGCATTTTTAGGGCGTGTTGTTATAAAAAAAATTGGATCCGTCTATGGGAAAGGTAACTGAAGGTGTAGATCGATACATCTCATCTTCACACCAAATATATTGGGATGTGTGAAATTTTTAGAGAGCCAGATGCTTATTTCACGTTTTAAGAGAGATATAATGATTCAAAATCATGAGCCGTTGTGTGGGAGTTAGCAGAAGGTGTGGTCCGATCTCTACCATCTTTTTAACATATCTTCTGTTGTTGGAAATATTAAGACGTGCCACGACTTAATGGAATCGGACGTTAATTTCCCGTTTTGACCCTTAGTGGGGGAGGTATCAGAAGGATAGGTCCCATATATCCCATCTTCACTGCAGATCTTGTTTTACTAGAAATATGGGGATATGTGTAACATGAAGAGATAATTCGGAACTTTGACCCTATATGGGGGAGGTATCAGAAAGAATAGTCCAATCTCTACCATCTTTATAACAGATCTTTTGTTGATGGACATATTAAGATGTGCCAAGTCTGAAGGGGATCGAAAGTAAATTTCGTATTTTATGAGCTTCACGGATATTCAAAATTTTGATTATTTGTGAGGGAGGTACCAGAAGGATTGAATAGATATATTCCATCTTCACACCAGACCAACAAAATATTTGTGGTGTGTGTAATTTGAGGACTGTCGAACTCTTACATCACATTTTATAAGAGTTATAATTATTCAAAATTTTGACCCTTCGTGGTTGAGGTACTTGATGAAGCGGACCGATATTTTCATGATTTGACCTGACCTAGCAGTGATGTAAATTAGTATTCCCAAAGTTGGAGCAAAATCAAATTATGCTTTTACTTTATATCGTATCAAATGATATATACCCTCCCTAGCCATATGGCTGAGGGTATTAAAACCGAGTCATATTTTCTGAAAAGAGAAAATGTTAGGCTATACGGTGGGATGCTTGATATGCTTTTGATGTAAATTAGTATTCCCAAAGTTGGGGCAAAATCAAATTATCCTTTCACTTTCTGTCGTATCAAATGATAGCCATATAGCTGAGGGTATTAAAACCGTGTCATATTTTTGAGAAGAGAACATGTTAGGCTATACGGTGGGATGCTTGATATGCTTTTGTTGGAGTCCTAGGCGAAAAAAATTACTTGACTTTGGACCAAAGTGCGAAACTACGACCCAAAGAAAAAAATGAAATATTTTCTTTTTTTCTTTTAAAATTCCTAAATTTTCCCACTTTTGATTTATTGACCCATGTTTTTAATCCTGAAGGACATGTGATTTACTAAGAACACTAGGGCGTATGATTGATGAATTATCTATTTTAAAATACTAATACGAATAAGCATACATTCTATTGTATTCAATACTCACAAAGCATTCAGTTTGAAACTTACCTGCAATAGCACTTCAATAATTTCAATCAAAAATGGGTCATTGATATGTAACCAGTTTTAAAAATAGTATCAAATTAGATTCATTTTTTATCGGATGTTCCAAATATAAATTAGCTTTACAATGTATAAAACCAATTGTAAATGGCTTCAGGTATCAGATTAATATTTTGCAGTTCCATTTACTGCTACTATTAATTCCATGCCGTGCCATTTTATGTCATTTATGAATGCTAACAATTTTCTCCTAAACCCCACTTTTTCGCACATCTCTTGC